AGCTAGAACTAGAGATAATTAAGTGACAAAATCTAAATAAGAATATTAACCAAGAAATCGTAAAGATACTAAGAAGAAACTTAACAAAAGACAAGAACAAATTTATTATATATACAGATGATGCAGCAAATGCAAGGACCAAAAAGAAATTATTAGCTCAGAACATGGATATAAAATAAATTCAGACAAATAAGACATAAGAGTGACCAAAAGAAGAAATATCACTAGGGCTAGAAGGATGGACAACATTGACAATTGCAGAATTAGTAGCAATATAGGCAGCAATTCTGACAATACTAAAAGAAAAACAAATAGAAATATATACAGATAGTAATGCTGCAATAAGAAATATCAATAGAAGTTTAGAGCAAATAAATAAAATAAAAATCCTTAAGAAGAAAAATATGATATGAATAATGAAGATTATAGATCTTATCAACACAAAAAAGATACAAATAGTGTTAATAAAAGTCAAAAGTTACAGTAAGAACAAGTGAAACAACAAAGCTAATAGCCTTGCAAAAAAGGAAACAACAAGTGAGAAAATAATACAAATAAAAAAGTTCGGTATAAAGAGATAGAGTACTGCCTAGAGTAGGAAAACAGATGAACTAATATTCCAGCAAAACTGTTATGCAAATTAGTAATGAATACAGGATTAGGAGCAGAATGGAGAGAAACAAAAGCAATTAAAAAGTTGAAGCCAAAAACAGAAATCATGATTTATGATTAGACACAATTCTGGAAAAAGCTTAAAGCAACTAAAAGAATATACTGCACAACAAGAAGAAGTAGTACAAGAAGATGCATATTTATTAAGTATATGATAGATAAATTTCCAACCTTAGAAGAACTTAACAGAAAATGATCAAATATATACATAATAACAGAATGTCAAGTATGTCAAGATAAAGTTAAAGAAACACAGTTGCACTTGGCATTATGCAAAAGACAAGAAAATCTCTGAAAACAAATCCAAAAAGTGACTATTGCAATAGCCTGAAAAGGGTTGAAGAAAGAAAAAAAAACTCACATCTTACCATATATACTATATATAGCACTTTTCGAAAAAAATGAAGCAGAAGAAATAGAGATAAGAAAAGCTTTAATAAAAGGCCTAATTTCAGAAAAGATACAAGACAGACTAGCATAGCTTCTAAACACTAAGGCAAGACAGCAGTTTATAGAGATGGTAGCAAAGACAGCATGGAACACATTCTATGAACAGGTTTGGAGGATACAGTGTAAAAAGGTTAATGAATAGAAGAAGAAAAAAGGTATAACAACCAAAATGAAGAAAAAGGAAGTTAAAAAAAAGAATTTAAAGAAGAAAGGAAAGGCAAGTCAGCAAAAGATCAAAGAAGAAAGGAAATTAGCAAAAGAAAAAAAAGATAATATTAATAAAGAAATTAGGAAAACAATATTAGGACTTGTTATAAAAGAAAGAAGACCCTTTTACAACAGACTTTAAGTAGTCAGACAAGTGGCCTACTTCTGCTTGAAGTAGTGCAACAAGTTGCATTTAGATACCCTTTGGGTGGCCAGGTGATGCTAGACTTAGTTGTTAGGTAAATCTATATAATTGCAAAAGTAATTTCAAAAATCTTAATAAAGTACTAATGTGATTGCTTAAGTTAAAAAAAAAAAAATAAAAAAAATAAAGCACCAACAAATGATGAAAATAATAAAGCACCAACAACTGACAAAAGCTTTAAGAAATAATAAAGTATTAACAAATAATGAAAGCTCCAAAAAACCATGAAAGCTTCAAAAAATAATAAAGCACCAATAAACAACAAAAGCTTCAAAAAATGATAAAGTTTCAACAAATAATAAAGCACCAACAAATAATGAAAGCTTCAAAAAATGATGAACTACTAACAAATGATGAAGTTTTAAGAAATAATAAAACATTAACAAATCATAAAAGCTTTAAGAAATGATAAAAGCTCTAACAACTAACAAAAACTTTAAAAAATGATAAAAGCTTCAAGAAATGACAAAAGTTTTAAGAAATAATAAAAGTTCTAAAAAAGAACAAAGCTCCAAGAAATAACAAAATGTTAACAAATAACAAAGCATCAACAAACAATGAAAGCTCCAAGAAATAACAAAGCACTAAGAAATAACAAAGTACCAAGAAATAATAAAGCTTCAATAGATGACAAGACTTCAAAAAATAACAAAACACCAATAAACAATAAAGCTCCAAAAAACAATAAAAGCTTCAAGAAACAATAAAAGTTCCAAGAAACAATAAAGCACTAACAAACAATAAAAGCTTCAAGAAATAACAAAGTACTAACAAATGATAAAGCTTCAAGAAATAACAAAGCACTAACAAATAATAAAAGCTTTAAGAAGTGATGAAAGCTTTAACAATTGATACAAGCTTCAAGAAACAACAAAAGCTTTAAGAAACAATAAAAGCTCCAAAAAATAATAAAAGTTCCAAAAAACAATAAAAGCTTCAAGAAATAATAAAGTTTTAAAAAATAATAAAGCTTCAAGAAATTATGAAAGCTTCAAGAAATAATAAAGTATTAACAAATAATGAAAGCTTTAAAAAATAATAAAGCATTAAGAAATAACAAAGTACTAAGAAACAATAAAAAGCTTCAAAAAATGATGAAGCTTTAAGAAATAATAAAAGCTCTAAAAAATAACAAAGTATCAACAAATGACAAAAGCTTCAAAAAATGACAAAGCATCAATAAACAATGAAGCATCAACAAATAATAAAGCATTAACAACATCAAAAGTGCTAATATAACAACATTAACAAATAATAAAAAAGATAATACTATAAAAAAATAATTAGTAAACAAATAAATAATTTTATATAATTATTAATTTTAAATTTGATTGGTCAATCATATACAGGTTGTCATATGATAGATTGCTATTGTATTTTTGCTAAAATAAAATTAATAAAAACTAAACAAATTAAAAATTAAAAATTAAAAGAATGGCAATTCTAGTGTAGTGGTTGGGTTGTCATCCTCCAAGTGGCAGGTCTAAGGTTCAAATCCCATCTACGACGAAATTTGAAAATTATATCTGTATTATAGTAACTGTTTTCTGTTGATCGGTTGGTCTTATGTAGCTATTACCTAGATACACCAAGTTAGGTTCTACTGACATTGGGAGCTCGAGAATCTATGTGAAATATAACATTACATATACATAGAGGAATGTATAATCAGTATTGTATAAGACTTCAGTGCAAACCCACAATAAGACCATTCTGCGTAGAAGACTAAGGAACTGAGATGATGGAAACTCACTTGAAATTCTTGAGTAAAGAGGTAGCATAAACTTTCGATAATATCATTGGACTAGTTGAAGTCTACGAAACATCTTCATAAGAACTAAAGGTTAAAACTAGACATCAAATATGTGTAGAAGAACACATAACCAACTAGGCCATCAGATTTGCCAGATAAAAAGGATATAGAGTATACTATACTAAGGCATCTGGATTAGTAGTCTGAAATAAGACTGATGGTTTTGAGTTGCGACTAGTAGGAAATAATGAAGAAGATGCCAGAAAAATAGGTACTGGGGTTCTAGTAAACTTTACAAGAGTAGAAATAATATAATGTAGTAGTTAAACAGGTAACCCCTATGACTGCAAGTATTAGATAACTATAGTATATTGTATAAAACTAGATTTATATATATAGGACATAAAGACTCTAGTAAGTTTTCTGTCAGAAATAAACTAGTCCTAAAGATAACAACAAGCATCAGGAACTTGAATAGATGTAGCCTTGAGATGTTCCCATAATACAAAGAAGACTGCATATGTAAAGGGTTTAAATAGACAAAACTCCTAGTCAGCTTGCAAGTATAGCAACTAGTATAGAACTTATATAACAATATGTAAATAGACTACTTAAATTAGGCACCAAAAGTGCATATATGGCTAGTTGTAACTTTCAATGTAAGGTAAGCCCCTGGTGGCATACTGTGTTCTAATATACTTGAATAAAAACATTGCATCCCTAAGATAGAGACTTTAACTATAAAAAAAAAAATAAAAAAATAAAAAAAAAAAAATTAAAAAAATTAAAAATAATAAATAAAAAGTAATAAATAATAAATTAAAAAAATAAATTAAAAAATAATAAATTAAAAAAAAATAAAAAATAAACAATAATATAAAAAATAAATATTATTAATAAAAAATAAATTAAATTAAAAACTTTAAAAAATTAAAAATTAAAAAAAATTAAAAATTAAAAATTAAAAAAATTAAAAAATTAAAAAATAAATAAAATAAATAAAATTAAAAAATAAAATAAATAAAATTATAAAAAATAAAACAATAAAATTATAAAAAATAAAAACACAAATAAATAAATAAATAAATTAAAAAATAAGAGTTTTAAAAAAATATGCACATGCATTATAATGTACTCTTTTTATATATTCATATAATTATAAATAAATTATGGGTAAATCTATATATCGCACCCCTGTGTAATGCTTAAATCTTGCACCAGGGGTGTGATATACTTAAATTTCACCACCTATAAAGGATCACTAAGTTACAATGGAATAGTTAAAGTTTCGACTAAAGATAAAGAAGCTAATAAAGAGCAATCAATTACTATCACTGACAGCCAAAGTTTAATTAAGTAAAAAAGAAAAAGACCACATAATTCATGAAGTTACTTCAAAAATTTAAATTTTTACTTAGCCAAAATCTGTAAAATCGAATACGTCTCAATGCAATAAACATGAAAAATACAAGCACTGGAAATGCAGATTTGCAACAACCCTAGTATGCAAAATAACTTTATTTAGACAAATAATGTGATCTCAACATTTACCGTTCTGTCCTACTTCTATTAGTTATTACCTGTACTCTTATGAAAAGTAGCATTGTGTCCTACTTGTTGACATATATGACATTTGTAAGAACCTCTAGTTTTGAGTTTTCTACAAAAGCTTTGTTCTTTTTCAACACTACTCAAATACCGTTGTTTGCATGATCAACTTCTACCAGTAACTTTGTTCAGATTTTTCACGTTATTGAGATTAGTGATCTCATTTTCTTGTTCTATTTCCTTCTCTATTTTCTTCTCTATTTTCTTCTCTATTTTATTACTTTCTGAATTAGCATTAATGTTACACTCATTTATTTTATAGGCATTATCAGGTATTTCATCATTTATAGCAGCTAGGGGTCTTTCGCGAATTACAGGTCTTTCGTCAATTGCAGGCCTTTCGTCAATTGCAGGCCTTTCTTGCGTATATTCATTTGATTTTCTTCTAATATAGTCTTGAAGAAAGGTAGTAATTTCATCATTGTCTTGCTCAACTGCAAGTAAAGTTGCTGTTCATGCTAATCTCCAAACATGACCATATAAATTTCTCTTATAAACAGCCTTTTTAATCATAGAAATAGTTGCTGGGATTGTGGCTGGCTTTCGTGTTAGTAAGATACCTTTATCCATAGGTTCATTATTTTTTTCACAACTGTATACTATACTTTCTTGTAGATTTAACACATCTTGGTGAATGTCTTTGTACTATCATAGAGGTATCATGCTAATATGAAATGTGGCAGTTTTTGAATTCATAATAATGCAAAAATAGTGATGGCATATAATTCCTCTGGATATAGATTTGAGACAAGAACACAAGAAAGAAATAGTATTAATGACAATAACGTAATGTATATGATTTTTTTCACTTCATATGTCTACAACTTTCCATATTTCTGACACTTCCTCTTGTTCTACTTCTTCTATCATGGCCTAGAGAGTCTTAAAACGTGCATCGTTTTGATCTTCAATGAATCCTTCTAATGTCGTCTGGAGATTTTCCTTTACAACAACAAGATTTTAGTATGTTATATGTGCTGTAAATGGAAATGGAACTAAAATTGATTTGAAATCATAGTAACTATATTGTAAGTAGAAATGGAACTAAAGTTGATTTTGAATCCATTTAAATTGGAACATAATTACTATACCTGAAATCTAATCCTTACCCTAACTCTAACCAAATTAACTTAAATTCCATTCCTATTTACTAAAGTCTAAACCAACACTAATCTTTGATAACTTAAATTCCACTCCCATTTACTGCATATGCATCATACCTGCTCACAATTCAATTCTTCATAATTGGGCTCAATCAAATTCGTATTAACAAATAAGCATTAAGACATTTCTTCTCTAATCATATTTTTAATAGGTTCAGTAAGATACTTATCAAGAACTTTTGTTATTGCTAGAAACAAATCTTGTCCAACTGTGTAAGTAGTATTCAATGTAGTAGCTTGCTTATATTCATAAAACTGATTCTATCTCCCTTCTTCTATTAATCTCGAATCGAGATGATCTGCAAGCTTGCATAGGGTACTATTAGCCTTTAGTTGTTGTTTTATGATCCAATTATAGCCTTCAACTCTCGAGGTGGTTTCAATACCAGCTGTGAAGATTTTATGAAGATAAGCCAGAGCCCATGATTTACACTTTTGATCCAAAGTACGTAAAATATAATCCTTTGTCATTGGAAAATCAGTAAGTAATTGGTTTCATCTTTGCTTAAATAGTAGTTCACATAAGCTGTTACAGCAGTGATAGAACTGTTAGATAAAATTTTCACATTTTTCACCCAATTTGGCTTTCAGATTTTTAGATAAGTTTTGTGATATATGGAATATACAGTGGGCTGGATATGTTTCAGGGAAAATGATAGGAATGGCAGCATCAAGCGTAGGGTCTGCATCAGTAAACATAATAATTGGGGCTTGGTTGGTGGCTCTTTTGATACACTTGAGTATTCAGATATGTGTATTAAGAGATTCATCACTCACTAACATCTGACGAACAAGACGAATTTTGCATTTGTTATCAACTATTATAAAAACCTCTAATGGCATCTGATACTGATTTGTATGAGATGTATTGTCATTAACGATAACATCATGATATTTAAGCCACAGGTCAACCTGATTAGGAGACATCCACAGAAGGTGAGTTAACTGATTATCTTGGTCTAATTTGAAATCAACGACCTAACATAAGTCTTCAACTTTTTTTTGCATTAATGAAGTAAACAGCGCAGATGCATCATTGTTAATCTTGTCAGATTTTTTATATTTTTGAATTACATTTGCCAAATCCTGGTTTTGAAAATGCAGATTCAGGAATCGTGCTTTTAAGAGACTTCTTTGTACTGTAAGTGATAAATTCCTAAGTTTTGTCATTAATGAAATTTCATGAAGTGCTTTATTAGTAAATGATCGATACTTTGTTGCAAATTCTTGGGTTTTAGGGGATAGCACATGGTTATGTTGATTGATGAATGTTGTGACAATTATTTTTGTTTCATGTTCAGGAAATAATAAGTTTACATGTCACAGGCAACTTAATTTTTTTGTTTTGGTGTTCTGTTGTGTCCTTTTTAATGCTGATTCTAATTTTTTTTTAGATTTATATTTACTACCAAATTTACAGATGATGGTCATTTTGTGAATTTGGCCTTTGCTATTTCTCTCTATTCTATATTTAACAGTCGCAAATCCATTCCTAGCACCATATTCATCGAAATAGCTCTCTACTTCTTTTCATGTTTCAAACCCAATATTCTTGGGAATGTCTTCAGATGCAACTATAGATATGCATGTTAGAATGTTGTGATACATATATTAATGATTCAAATACTTACTAAAATCATTGCTATTTTTTCTCTCTATGTTAATAGGTTCAATATTCATCATTTGTTTATCGTTATTAACATTATTAGAACCACTTTTGATCAAATTTATATTCATGGAGGCTTAAAAGTTACAAGGCTGAAATGGGTAAGCCAATAATATTATGATAGAAGGTATGATAAATGTTAATAAAAGTCTGTATTGCATACCGATTTGGTTTGTATAGGCCATGTTTTTTAAGATTATGATTTTAGCGCACTTGTTTAAAAACCCAAAATGTAATATGATAGACAAGTTAAACTAAGGTGTTTAATAAAGATTTGAATGTTGATTTTAAGGCAATATTGATTAGCAAAACAACTTTGAGAAAAAATTTTTTTTTTCGATCTGTTTACATCATTGTGGATTATTTTAATGCAATACAGTATAATTTTATTTCATCTTAGGAAATGCGATACATTTACATCTCACTTTGCATAAAAATTATGCATTAGACTCTCACAGCCAATTAAATCAGGATTTATACTTTTATGTGAGATTTAATGGCTTTGCGCCATGCAGGATGCACATTTATTTATAAATTATTTATATATATTCTAATTTAAAGCTATAATTATATATATACTAATTTTAATATATATACTATATGCATAATAAATAATATTAAATACTATACACTTAATTATTAATAAATATCAATACTCTTAAATAATCTTAAACTTAAAAACAAGATGTATTACTAAGTAAAAATTAATAATTTTATATAAATATGAATTCTTTATACAACAAATATAAAATTTAAATAATAATAATAGTTAAAGACTATACAATAAATAATATTAAAAAGCAGTATTCATTATGTAAAGAATTCTATATTTAGAATACTTTAGTATTAGTAACAATAATACTCAAATACATAATGATCTACTTTATTTTATTTATTTTTTTTGAGTTAAAGTCTCTGTCTATAGGAGTTGATGTTTTTATTCATGTATTTGGACACAAGTGCCTTCAGAGGCTCCCTTACATTAAAGATTACAACTAGCCACACATACACTTTTGGTGCCTAATTTAAGTAGTTCGCCTATACATTACTATACAGATTCTACACTAGGTGCTATACCTACAAGCCAACTATGGGTCTTGCTTATTTAAACCCTCTGCATATATAGTCTACCATGTCTTATAGGGACATCTTCAAGGCTACACCTATTCAAAGTATCTAATGCCTTCAAGTACCCTTAGGACTAGTTTATCCTTGACAAGAAACTTACTAGAACCTTCTATGCCCCACACACAGCTGAGCTAGTTTTATGCAACACATTATAGTTATCTAATACTTGCAGTTATAGAGGTTATCTGTTTAATGCTATGTTATACTATTTCTACTTTTATAAAGTTTACTAGAACCCTAGTACCTATCATCATGACATCTTCTTCATCATCTTTTACTAACTGCTACTTAGGACTAACAGAACTTCTCTAACTTCCAATTCAGATAGCCTGGTATAGTATACTTATGTATTCTTTTTCTCTGGCGATTTCAGCAGCCTGGTTGATCATATGCTCTTCTACACATCTTGATATCTAGTTTATTCACCTATTCCTTTGAGGGTGTTTCATAGGCTTCCATCAGTCTGACCATACCATCAAAAGTTCATGCTACCTTTTTATTCAAGAATTTCCAAGTAGGCTTCTGACTCTTTGGTTCTTTAGTTTACTGCACCTGGTGGTCTTATCATAAGTTTGCACCAAAGTCTTATACAATACAGGTTATTAACATTTCTTCATGTATGTGTAATGTTATACTTGGCATAGATGCCCCGAGCTCTCATTCGAGATGATGCAACTTAAGGTTACAGATACACAAATCTAGTTGATCATCAAGAGACAGTTTGCCATAATACAGGTTAATTTCTAAATTTTGTCGTAGGTGGGATTTGAACCTTAGACCTATTACTTGGAGAATGACAACCCAATTACTATGCTAGAATGCCATCCTGATGACCTACTTTATATATTTTAAATTTTTAATATTTATATATATATATTAATATTCTAATTATTTACATTTTTTTTAAATATATAGCAATATTATGATCAAATTTCTTACAATAGCTATATTGATTTAAACACTTTCACTTAATATTAATTGTTATTTTATATATTGGTAGTTATTGATAGTATATGGATTATTGATGATATTAAAAGAACAGAACAAAAATAATGCTTTTTTATAAAAGTGCAAAAATATAATAAAGAAACAATCAAAGATATCTTAGATAAATATATTGAAAAAGGATCTATTGTTTATATAGATTGTTGGAAAGGTTATCTGAATATCGATAAACTAGAATTCAAACATAAAACAGTTAATCATTCAGAAAATTTTATAGATCCTAAAACAGGTACATATATGAATACTATAAAAAGATTGTGAAATAATATCAAGTTACAGATTGCTTCACAAAATTGAAATAAAGACTTGATTGAATTATGCTTATTCAAATTTATTTGATGTAAATTAAACAAAAATAGACTTTGAAATACATTTATTGAAACATTACGTTCTATAGCATATTACCAATCTGATGATATCATATTGTGACAATTGCATGCATTAGTATTGTAATAAAATTTACTAAAAACTATTAAGCTGTAGCAAATTTTAAAGTGATGAGGGTCGAGTAGAAGATCTTTTATTTAAAGAAAAATAAAATAAAAGAAAAGAATAAATATAAAAATAAATAAAATAAATAAAAACAACTAAAAATAAAGAATAAATATTTAAAAATGGAATTTAAATTTAA